CTTGAGTATGACTGTGCAGTTGCTCATTTGTTTTATTCCTTAACATAGTGTAGGCCAATTTGATGCTTACAACATAACAGAATAGTTTCCTGTTCTAAATGGATTTCTTAATAGTAACCTGAAAAAAAAAACGTAAGAAACTTTGTAGGAAGGTAATAAGGGAAAATGATAAAGGCATTGAAGGAAATTCTCCTGCTGGTAAAGTAGTAGGGTCAGAGTTCTCTATGTATGATTTCCTCATCTGTAAAATGGGGATAATAATACCTGCCTGATAGTATTGTTATGATGATGATACCAGATTATGTTTGTAAATAATTTAATACAATGCTAGGGACGGGTACATAGCAAACATATGATAGATTCAACTAATAAAGTGAAAATTAACCTTTCCACTGAAATGGGATTTAAGAAGTTCTATCATTTCTATCTTGATTTACTTGATCTCTCTATATAAACGATTAGGTCTAGATCAGCAGATTACCTTTGGAAAACCTTTAATGAAAAAGTCATTTCTCTGTCACATCATCCATTAACATAAGGTGGCAGCTCTGGCTTATCCGATGAGGCTTTACTACATAAAAATGGAGCTATTGATATTATTGACTATTAATGAATGCTTATTCCATATTATAACATTGTTTCCACAAAATATAATCTATTTTAATAACTGAGGTGAACCACAAATGTTTAACAAGAAATGACTTCCTATATTCAATTTCTTAAACTAACCAGGCACTCAGCATATAGCTTTAATTAAGTTATTTGCCTAGAGGCCAATCAATAATTAATTTCCCCATTCAAAAACTATGACTTGGATGTTTCTCTTAAAGCATGTCAATTAAAAATAGAAAAGCCATACTATAAAAAATATATGTTTATTGACAAGTGAGAAGATGTTGCCAGGCTTTTTAACAAGCTCTTTGAAAATATTGCTTTATTTGAAAAGAAACCTTAATTACCCTTGATCATGGCCCTTAAGTCTTAGTATTATATTCCTACTCGGTAATACGTACTCATCTCATGGTGATAATTCCCTTATAGCTTGTGGTGATCAGGGAGAATCATAATAGGCAATTGGTAAGTTTGTTATGAGTTGACTAAGATGGAAATAACAGCTTTGAATTATTCTCATTAATTTAACCCATGTATTTTAGAAAGCTAGTGATAAGCTGGTTGCCATGAAGTATTTACTACTACAAAATGATAAGTTTTAGCACACTTTACTAACAAATCTGAAACTGAGTTTTGAGAGAAAGGAAAATGGGACTCATATTCTCTTTTATTTCCCAAACTATGAGTTTATCTAAAATATAATGCTAACAATCATTCTCCCACTTGCTCACTCTGTTCTAGCACCACTGGCCTCCTTGCTGATCTTACACAAGCCTGAAGTTTGCATTTGCTGTGCCATCTGCCTGGCATACTCTTCCCATGGATATTTACTTCACTTCTTCACTTTGCTCAATGTCATTTTCTCAGGGTTGTTTAATTTGATCCCTCCTACTTAAAGTTACATAGTACAGTGCCCCTAATTTCCTTTAACCTGCTCTGTTTCTTTCTACCATGTTAAGCTAGTCATCTTCCAGTGTACTATATTATCTTAACCTATTTGTTTATTGGAGACTCCATCAAATGTAGACTCCAGGAAGCCAGGGAGTTCTGTTTGCTCTACTAGTGCTGTATTTCTAGTACCTAAAATATTGTCGGATACCTAGTGAAAACTGGATAAATATTTGTTGAATGAGCGAATAGATGCGTCAGTAAATGTAGAAGTAAATAGATTCAACATCCTAGCTTAAGCACCTAGAAATGGTTCTGATTATTTGCCTGATTGCCTCAAACCTGGACTCATCAATGGACTGTGACAAATGAAGTTAAAATGCCAGAAATGATATCTCTTAGAATGAGAAATCCAAAGAATTTAGGGAGGTTTCATATCTCCTAGCTTTGTTCCTCAAGAGAATATAGGAAACACATTCTTCATTAGACATTAAGAAATTCACTAGTGAGGGGAGTGCAATGTCCTTGAAAAAGACTGCAGTGGCTGTCATTTCTAGGGTGGGTTGATACCACCACATACATTGGCATCCCATATTGACTGAGGCCAAATAGTAGCACTCACTTGAAAGCAAGGCGGTGTGGTTCCCAAGGTAATTAGCAGGGTGAGAGTGGTGATAATAAAGTTTAACATACAGAAAACTTTGGAAGTGCTTAACTGATCCTGGGGATTCCAAACTGAAATTGTTTCTATCTCACTAAGGTCATACTTAAAAACCCTCTAGGTTTGGCAGTGGCATGGGTGGCCCATCACGCTGGAAATTTATGGTCCCTCCCACACTTGCCTGACCTGAATCAGATCATAGATTCAGAGCTCCTTAAATGAAAGGAAAGATTTGTCTTGGTGAGGAAGGACTCTGTAATAGTCTCAAGTATATTTTCTTCCTAGTCTTTCTCTAGTATTTTTATAGAAAATGTATTACTGATGACTAACTTTATTGTTTGATCCATAGGTAGCCGCATATCAAAACTGGCTTGTGACAGAACCAGATAGCTGACTATTTCTCAGAAACAGCTATGGTAACTGAATGATTGTGGGTATTCACTTTTGAGGAGAGGATGCCCATGTTTTAATTTGGAATATAGATATTTTCTTTATGCCAGGTATGAGAATGCTGTTGTTGCTATTGCTATTGTTTACAATAGTATGTATAGGAAGAAGGTTGTGCTTGGGTGAAGTCAAAGATTGCATGATTGATGACAGTTTCTCTTGCTCTCTCAAAAACCATTCCTATCACTTTCTAGCTTGTATTCTATATCACTCATTTTTAAGTCTTCATGCAACTCCTGTCCCTTGTTTATGAAATTTTCCCACTCTCTGAAGTCTACAACATGTAGTTTAGTTTTTAATTGTAGTCTGCCTTATTCTTTTTTTTAAATAATTTTTTATTGTTATGTTAATCACCATACATTACATCATTAGTTTTTGATGTAGTGTTCCATGATTCATTGTTTGCGCATAACACCCAGTGCTCCACGCAGAATGCGCCCTCTTTAAGACCCATCACCAGGCTAACCCATCCCCCCACCCCCTCCCCTCTAGAACCCTCAGTTTGTTTTTCAGAGTCCATCGTCTCTAATGGTTTGTCTCCCCCTCCGACTTACTCCCCTTCATTCTTCCCCTCCTGCTATCTTCTTCTTCTTTTTTTTTTCTTAACATATATTGCATTATTTGTTGTAGTCTGCCTTATTCTTAAGTAATTTTACATATGTGTTTTTACCCTCTTTGAGGTCATTTTATTTTTAGACAAGGATGTCATATATTCCCTTTTGTGTCATGCTCAATAACCTCTGGTCTTTTAATCTAATAGAACTGCCATTTTCATGGTATCTCTTTCCACCTAATATTTCACACTCATTTATAATCGAACAAGCAAAAACTCAACAAACTCAGTCATAACAAACCAAATTAGACAATTCTTGATGCCCAGATTTTGAAACTCTGTTGAAATGAAAATACATCAGCATTTCTGGAAAGAGATCAAAGCACCCATTCTTTATTTTATGAAACCAACCAGCAGAGGGAGCAAAAGAGATATTTAAGTGTTCCTGTTTCTGCTTGGGGACTTTCTACTATGGTTGCTGTCTAGTGCTAGGCTATATTTTTAATATATATTCCCCCTAATCCCTAGGCAGAAATTCTGTATAATCACCACATGCCTGTGAAGTCAGTTCTAAGAGATTCTACTTGCACAATTTCTTTCTTCAATCTTGAGTCCCATGAAAACCTCAAAAGCTACTGGGTGAAAAACCAGGACTGAAATTGTAGGCCTTCAAAACTCTATCTAGGCAGCTCAAGAATTAGGGCAAAGAGATTTTGAATGAATAAAAAAATAGCTTCCTAGTTATTAGGATAAATGATATTAATGAATCTCTGCTGTGTTCTGTATTATTTAAAATATTTTGAGAGATTTTCACATATATTCTAATGGAGGTTATACTACATTCATAGTAAAGTTATATTTTTTATATGACCAGGAAATAACAAAGAGAAAGTTCCTTTGAAAAGAATCGTTTATATTCTTTTATATATGTGTGTGTGTGTGTGTGTGTGTGTGTGTGTGTGAATCGTGTATATATACTATATATGATATATTTCTACATTCCCATCTAAAATATCTTTTAAAACATTATGGATCAAAAGAGTTTCTCATTATCCTGGATATTTTGGTTTAGATAATTCTGTTAAGTATAACATGAAGATGGCCAAAAACCTGTGTGTGGTTTACAGTGTCCACTGCAAAAGCTTTAAGAATGTCATTACTTGCTTTCTTTGGATGAGTTCAATATGGGGACTCTTTGGATGTGTAAGGTCTTTATACCCAAACTGTCCCTTGAATTTAATGAAGATATATATATATTTTTTTAAATTTTTTTTAAGATTTATTTTATTTTAGAGAGAGAGCACACATAAGCTGAGGGGAAGGGGTAGGGGAGAGGGAGAAGTAGAGAAGCAGGCTCCCTGCTGAGCAGGGAGTCTGAAGTGTGAAGTATATATAGCTGGATCCCACAACCCTGAGATCATAACCTGAGCTGAAATCAAGAGTCCGACGCTGAACCAACTGAGCCACCCAGGTGCCCCTTTAATGAAGTTATATTAAAGTATAGTCACAAAGATGAAGAAGCAAAAAGAAAAATCTGTGATAATGCAAAGCTAATATGAATTTAACATGAATCACTTTATTCATCTGCTGAAGAATATCAAAAGGAAAAAGAAGCATTATAGGGCATCTCATTTTTAAGAGAATATAATTATAAATAATATATTCATGTAGTTTCTTTTGTGTTGGGGATGTATAAACTCTTACACCAACAAAATGTAACAAACATTGGGAATTTCCAGATATCATGGCATGGTGATCTTTATCATTCTTGTAATTCTTGACTTTAGGTAGAGTTATAGCCACCTGAGTTATTTGAGCTGATCTCTAAAAACAAGTCACATGGAGCGCTTTTACCAGGGACGCACCAACCTTGGCTATGTTTGTACCAAAACCGTGAGGAAGGTGGCACAGGTCATCACTGAGAAGTACTACACTCACCTGAGCAAAGACTTCCATACCAACAACCCTGTGTGTGGGGAGATTGCCATTATTCCCAGCAAGAAGCTCTGCAGCAAGATAGGCTACGTCACACATCTGATGGGGTGGGATCAGAGAGGTCTGGTGGGAGGTATCTGCATCAAACTGCAGGAGGACAGAGAGAGAAGAGATAATTATGTTTCTGAGGTCTCAGCCCTGGATCAGGAGATCACTGAAGTGGATTCTGACACTAAGGAACTGTTGAAACTCTTAGAATTTGGCAGTCTGTTCAACCTGCAGGTCACTCAGACTACAATTGGGTTGAATTTCAAAATACCACATAGAGTTGTTTGAATCATTCTGCTATGCTGTAATATCTTCCATAAACCTTGGGAAAAAAATTCATACAGAGGTTCTCCTGACTGAGGTTAATGAGATTATTTTTATGAGGAGTAGATTGGATATGTGTATGTGTGTATGCATGTGTGTGTCTGTATAACTGATCAACAACAGAAATAACTTTAATATTTGCCTCCTCAAGGGAGGAACAAACAATCTAACTAACTTATGAAAGTCTTTTTTTCCCTTGTTGTCTATTTCTATCCTGTAGGAAATTAGTTTTTATTACAATGTGGTCATTCCTTGTGCTGGAGGCCTAAACTGGCAGGGTAACTGGACCTCTATGGGGTACACCTTGTCTGTCTTCTGGCTGGGTAGTTGGGTTGTGCAACTCATGGAAAGAACAGCATTACAACTTGAGAAGAACACACCACTGAGTGTTTTGTAAGAACCTCTAAGAGAGAAACAAATAAACCAGTGTTGGCATTCATTTCATAAAAGACACCAAAAAAGCAAAGTTTGAAAACTCAAAGGAAAACAGCATCTTTTACTTTAAAAGAATCTAAACCCCCAGATTTCACTGTCTAATGCTTCATGGTAATACAACTTGATGAAACTCATTGTTTTAGATTTTTTGGTAAAGGAGGTATGGATGACATTTGACTTGTGAATTGACTCAAAGATTGGGAAAAGGTGCCAGAAAGGAGGCAGTCTGGTATGGTTCAGTGAGTTGGCTTGGACTAGCAATCCAGAGATGTCAATTTTCAATCCAATTTTATCATTCAGTAATTGCTTGTCCTTGGCTAATTCAACGAATTTGTTTCCTTATCTGCCAAATGTCTTACCTCTTCTTATAGGATAACATGATCACATGGAGGAACTGTGAAATACCTAGCATTCCATAAAAATATGAGCTACCTTTATAAAAATTATTTGTTGTTATAAAAATACTCAAGTGGATGATCATTATCGCTATGATCAAGATGCATTTTTATTGTGCTCTAGAATATATAGCTTGTCAAATGACAAAACTTAACTAGGACTAAGCCAAAGTGCTCTGATCTTTGGGAGTAAGGTGAAAAAAATGCAGCATTCATTAAGACATTTGTGGTGATTAGGGAGATGACCTTAGTAGGTTATCAAATTCACAGCCTCTCACAATGGACCAAACTTAAGCCAATTCAATTAAATGAGATTTTCCATTATTTACAAAGATGGCCACAGCCAGCCAGGACTCTTCTAATACAAGCAGTTTCAATATTATGCAATTCTTTCTTATGTAATTCTGAATTCTCAGGCCTCACCAGCATGGGGATAAAAATAGAATGTTATAATTGTTGCAAGTTGGTATTTCTCTGACCCAGCTCCTATTTTACTGTGTGAGAACTCTAGACCACCCTTACATGTCTGCTAAATAGTTATAGCATTCTGTATATATATATATATACATCTATAATCAGCAGATTTACTCTTAACTACCAAGTGGCATCCTATGTTCTATTTTCTTTCTCTTTTACCCTGACTCTATACAGTCTGTCTACTGACTTCTGGTCTGAAAAATAACAGCTTTGCTGCCAGAGCCACCCTATGGAGATGATTCTAGAAGTAACGGTGTTTGGTGCCCAGGCTGGCAATGCCTATTGCTGAGTGAGTTGATGAATCTGTCTTGGGATCAGCCATCAATATCTCCTACTGTTGGGGGTAAGAGTAGCCCTAATTCTGCAGCTGTCTTGTGTAGTCCGTATCTGTCCCAGGTATTCTTGTTTTTACATGTTCCTTAGTGGGTGTTCCATATTCTGGTACTTAGCCATGGGTCTGTAAGTTCTGAGGCCAGGTGAATGAATGACTGACATTGTGCTGTCCTCATAGTTACATCTTCCCTTCGATTCTGGCACATCATCCTTGGACAAAACATGTGTGCCTCATTCCCTTTTTCTGTATGTTTTACCCAAGAGGGGTTTTGATCTCCTATGTAATACTCCCTGTGAGGCACACCTCAGAGCCTGATGTGTAACTGATACACTTACTATCCCAGAATGCCTGAATAAAATCTCTTCATCATACTAACTTTCAACCTTTTCCTTTGTTTTAATACTGAGAGAGGACTTTCATTTTTTATAGCAGTACTTTATACTCTTATGGATCATACTCTCATACTCTGAACCATCCTTTCTGCAAAAAAAGAAAAATCAATCTCCACTTCTTTTTAAAGTAAGGGTGTAGTTTTATCGACTCTTACTCATCTTTGTGGTTGTAGGCTTGAAGTCTTCAACTTATTCACAAAGTAGGACACCTTATTCTAAAATGTAACTTCTCTCTTCCACAAGGTTTCTTTGTTTCTCAAACCCAAGTGATGAGATGAAGCATTATTTATGGGGTCCTAACATAACCCCCGTTCTCAGTATGCCTAGTGTTATTGGAATCACACGAAGTGTACATGCCTTTTAAATGATGCGTAAGAATGAAGTGTTATAGCAGGCTCCTGGTTTACCCTGGCTTGTAATTTCCCGAGAGATGCCAGAATTGGCCAAGGAACTTCTTTTTAAAAAGATGGAAAAAATTCCATGGAAGACAAACATAGATCACTTTAAAAATCATTTTTCTCCTATTTCTATTCGGCTCCTCAGTCCATAAATATCAAAGTCCACTTTCTAAAGGTACACATAGCATATTTGTATTGGAATATAATAGCAGGATTTTGAGAATCTTCTAGACATTTGATAAATGTCAGTTCAAAACAAATGATTTTATTCCTAGTTTAGTAAAATCTCAAGTAGACATCAACTTTGGATGTGTCTCTTAAAGATAGTATGTTAATTCATTAGTGAGTATCAGAAAGCAGATTGACATGTTTTGTCAATATACTTTTCCCCTTATTTATCTTAGTGCATCTTATAGGGTCTGTTTTTCACATGATCTTATGAGATGTTCTGAGAAAGGAGGGTTCCATGATCAATGAGTTTGGGAAAAGCTTCATACCATATTCAGAGGTCCTGTAGAAAGAAAAAAATCTACTTAACTCATTTAACCCATTTAGTTCCAAACTAATTTGACCATAATAACCACATCTCTTTCTCTCTCTTTTTTTTTTTTAAAGGGACACATTTAACATCTTATGGAATACACTTTGGTAATTATTGCTCTGTTTTAACCTTTCCAACTAACTTTTTTGACTGCATGGGTCATTTATTTCAATTTTCCTTTCAATAAATATTTCAGGTATTTTCCTGGTTTGACTAAGTCAACTAGGAGTTTTGATATCGCCTGTATACCTAGCCTCGTTCGACTCACATTTCACATGTAGTTTTCCACACATTCTTCTTTGGAAAAATAAGTGTTTGAATTAGGTTTTCATCACAGGATAAGACAATTGCAGAAAGGATCTAAACTTGTGTTCCTTAGGTGAGGCCTAGGCAGTTTCTTAAGACCAGAGTGGTGCTGAGCCTGCCTGTCTTTTGGGAAAATACAAATGTGCAAGACCTTGAATGAATGGACAGGCAGCTCAGAGAAGCAATGAATTCAACAGCTGCAAGAGACTACAGACATCATCCAGTGTTAGACCCTCATCTTGTGCCAGTAATCAGAGACCCAGATTACCAAAGCAACTGGCTTCAGGTTAGATCCCAGCTGTAGCTGAGCTGGATTTAGGCCTGGCTTTCTAATTCTCAGTCTTTAAATTTTTTGCTAACTTTGGAGCCTCTTAGACCTCTGCTTGGAGTAGTTGGATCTAGTCTCAAATTCACCTCTGCTATTTTCACCAAGAACAAAAGTCCATTCCGTAACTGTTGTCCTTGGTTTTCCAAAGCACAGCTGTAGAGATGACAATGTATACCATGTGATAAAAAGTTTTTTCAAATATTAAACTCCACGAAAATACTTTCAGACAAAGAAATGTGTGTGTTGTGTGTGTGTAGGGTGGTGGTGGTGGTGGTGATGGTGGTGGCAACAGCAATAGGGTAGGTAGGGAAGGGAAATGCACATTCTAATTGACTTAACTAGGATAGAAATACTCTTGTCCTGGTTTCCAGGAACAAAGTAAAATAAAATAAGTAAAACTGTCATCCTATTCAAATAATTTTGAATATTTGTTCTTACTCAATTTCTGTTCCAGAGAGCTAATAAATAAGCTGTGAAATGGGTTGGTGGTGAAAGATGAGCTGGTAGCAATTATTTCCCCATATCCTTACTGACTTGGATAACACTCACTTTTCTTTGCTATGTACAACATAACTGAAAATGCAGATCCAATGACTAATGTCTTGGGTGTGTCAAAATGGCAGGCAGGCAGAGTTTGCAACTCATCTCTCTATTTAACATTTCCCTCTGTTCTTAGATTAATGTTATTTTTCTCATAATCCATTAAGCTAAGTCTTTTCACAGGGGAATACAGATTCTCTTGCAATTACCTGAGGAATCCCCACTCAAGTATTTGTTGGAAGTCCTTTGGGTTGAACAGAGGTTTTAACAGGGAAATAAGCACTGTAGAATTATGTCCAGCTGTGTACAAATATTTATGGGAATAGTCACAGTGACTGAAATAATTGATGCAAAGAAAAACAATTACCAAACAAATATGACATTGTTTGGATGCAGCGGAATATTCCATGACTTCCCCCTCAATTCCTCTCTATTATGGTTGTATTTATTGAATCTCAAGGGAATCAGAATAATTTCTGAAGTTAGAAAGTGGTTACCAAGAACTAGATATGCATAATTGCCATTATTTTTAAGAACAAGGACCATTCTTAGAATAAAAAGAGATAATGATATTCTGGCCCATTTACCAAAACCTGACATGATATTTGACAATTAAAAAATGAAAAAAAAAAGTTGCAAGTTACATTTTAGAAATATCTGTGTAAGAAACTATAATTTATTAATCACTACAGCCTTGACATGAATGAGAAAAATAGTGGTAAAATATATGGGAGGGATAGTATTTATTTTATTTACAGCAGTAGTTTGAAGTTCATATAGATTTACATATCTCTAGTTCCCAGGGATTCAGAGTCCAG